ATAGATAGATAGATAGATAGATAGATAGATAGATAGATAGATAGATAAAAACAGCCATATTTTAGATACAGATATCATTTTTGTTGATTATGATGAACGACTGAAATAATTAGAGAAACTACAAGTTAATCACAAATTCTGAATTTGAGACAGACTATTTTTCTTAGCACTGTGAATGATCTTAGGGAAAGTCGACAGAAAAGGAAACAAAAGTAGAGTGACAGCAGGAACAGAAAGGGTTCAGAAAAAGAGGGGATATGGAAACTGCTTCAAGTAGAATAGAATTAATTACATTACAGAGTATTGCAAAAGTCTGTGGAAATACACTAAAGGGAAGCATGAAAAGGATGACTGGGAGAATGCCAGAATGACAAACACTATGGATGAGAAAAATATCCTTGAGAATGACTCCTGGAAAAGAACCAGAAAGACATGGAAGGGAACAACTGCATTTGACAATAGAAAGAATGTTATTTCTCCTTAACATTAAAGGGGGAAGATAGAATCTTTGGAGAATTAGATTCCATGCACCTAGCACAGAATTCCTAATGAGAGGTTCAAGAGGTATCAATGAGCAAAACTTGGGATATCTACAGATCTCTAACACAGATTGTTAGCCAAGTCAATGAGATATGTATGTATGGGGGGGGGAGTCATCGTACAATTATTGATTTGAAACAGTATGATAAAATGCTTATAGAAGAATTATGGAGAAGGATGAGGACTTGTTATCTGCCTTTTGTTTAAGGAATCAATGTACAAGGAAGCTCATGGGATGTTGGTTGGTTGAGGATATGGATATATCCTACATGTAATTTTGTATTAATTATAACATTAAGGATTGGATATTAATTCTTGATACAAATGTTATCCACCTCTAGTTCTTTCTTTATAAGAATTCTTTCTTTTTCAGTAATAGATTCTGATGGCCCCAATGAAGGGTACAACCATCCAAGCAACCCGTTTTCTGGACCATTTCTGACAGACCATTTTAAGGGAGGTCTCCGGACTTCAGTGATTAAAATAATCCATAAAATGTTCAGTATGGGAGAAATGGCAATTTTGGGGTGAATATACAAGGGTTAAGATTTAATACAGGGGTAAGTACTGATTTTAGAAAACAAAACAAAATAAACTATCACAGACAACTTAATGGATGCATTAAAAATAATAAAATCCTGCTTTACTTACCATCCAGTAAGTCCCTTATTTTGTCCAAGTAAATCTCAAAGTAGGAAACCTAATTATGAAAGCACACCAATATTACACATACATTTGAAAAAGAAAGAGAAAAACTATCAAATAGATTCTTAAAAGTTCTTTGAAAACATAGGGGACATGTTTACTCAGCAGTTTCACTCAAACTAAGAGAAAACACTGAGGAAATATTTGTACTTATTGCTTCTGGGCATTAGTGTCTATGGAGATTCTAAGTCATCCAGGTCATGCCTGTCCCAAAGGTGCTTTTTCAAGAGGCAACTGGATTTTCTGTTTTTTCTTTGAAGATGTTTTGCTTCTCATCCAAGAAGCTTTTTCAGCTTCCTTTGGGACATTTGGGCATTAGGATTTGACCTCTCCATAGACCAAAATGTTTCTTTAATGGGCCAGAATAAAAGAGGCATCACCTTATGTTCTACTTTCCATCTCTTTTCTTCTGCTATTATGGACATTAAAAGATTAAGGCTGTAACAACTAAAAGCCACTATCCATGCTGATTAATCACAGAACTGTTTCTAGTAGCTCTGGAAAGTTTGGTAGCCTTTGGACATAGCTACAGTAGCTATAATTATAGTTAGTATAAAGTATCTGCTTTTGCCTGCCTATTTATCTACTTTTACCAGTTAGCTGTTTTGGGGTTTGCTGATGTATAACCATCAAACTAAAATGAATGGTGAATATGTTTATTGTGACCAGGCTATAAGGATTGAGTGGGAGCATGCTGGGGACAAGCTAATTTGGACATTACCCATCATAAGTTTCCAAATCCATAAAAAGCTAAAAGAATGGAATTATTCCTCCACCCCAAGAGCCAATATAATCAGTGGAACTTTGTCTGGGTGTCACCCAGAGCTAGTTAAAAGACTGGTGGCTATATAATTTTTTAAAATAAATAAAATAAAATGGGACTGTAAAGGCAAGAGAAGGATTGAATTTAACATATGACCACTATCAATACCCCTTCACTGATTCCTTTGTGAAAGATCTATTCACAAACAGCAGATTTATATCATAATATATTTTTTGCATATGTTCCAACTAAGATTGGATATACTCATTAGTTTTTGATCTGAATTTGATTAAGGGTAGAATTGAAATGTTTTTTTAAAAAACAAACGAACACATTATCTTAGTTGGCTACATAAAGAATTTAATAAATTATTTGTAGTTTTGCCAAAGCTTTGCTCTCCTGTTAAAATAATAGCTTCAACAGTGTGTAGGTAGCGGAAAAGAATTATGAGATAAAATTAAAGCTTCAGAAAGGAGTAGCTGATGAAATTATTGGTCTTAATGGAATTGACTTGGTAAGAGTTCAAACCATACATTTTATTTATTTATCTATGCAATTTTTATAACTGTCCATCTCACCAAAAGCAGCTCTGGGCAGCACCCAACAATATGCACCATTAAGTATATATTCCTTTTATAAAATTCAGTGTCTCACTACAAGGGAGAGGGGGAAAAGGCATAATAAGACCTCAGACTTTTCCCTGTCAATGAGCAAGCAAGGACATGTCTAGTCTATGGAGATAATTTGGAGCTATATTGCATATATAATAGGTGGCAATTATAGCAAAGGCTGACTGCACAAGTACTTTTTTTTAATGCGCTTGGGAAAAGATCACATCCCTATATTCCTTTACATTATGCATGTGTCAAAAGGTACAGGATGTTCCACCAGAAGAAAATGTTCACCGTCCTAAGACCGATCAATATCCATCTGGACTTTACCGTATTAAATAGTTCTTTCTGCTCTAGGGCTACAGCATAAAAAGACACAGCAATACAAAGGGTGTTTTTAAACATGTACAATATGTTTCACATCATTCAACAAGTTCCCCAATGTAAATGGAATTAGGAACAATCAAAATGGAAGACTTGAGTTACAGCACCTGTTAATTTTGAGCTGTAAGAACATTTGGGATCAAGAGAGAATTATTGTAGACTGCTTTGCTTATCAGATGAAAGGATTTTAAGAAGGTGCAGTTAAAGGCTAAGAGGGGCTCTAGGACAACTCACCACAGCCAACTTGCTATGGCCAACTCACCATGGCCAACCCACTATGGGACAATTCACCACAGCCGATTTGCTGCGAGACAAAAGTTACATAATATTGAAGAAATTGTGAAATAGAATCATTAAAGGAAGGATGCAAAAGGAAGGGCAAAATGAAATGTGAATGACAAATATTAAAATATTTTTAAAATTATTTTAAAAAATTAAATAAAACTGTTGAATTGTATTGCGGTGAGTTGTTCCATGGCAAATTGTCCAATGGCGAGTTGGCCATGGCAAGCTGGCCACAGTGAGTTGACCATGGCAAATTGGCAGCAGTGAGTTGCCATGGCAAGTTGTCCCGTTCTGGTAAGAGGAGGATCAACCATGAGAAAAAGCACAGTGTCCCACAACAATAACATTTAGAATACTACCAAATGAGATAAGTATAATTCAATACTTCAATATATAAAGATCTGCAAAAATGAAAGTGCAAAAAAAGAGGGGGAAACACACCCCAAAATTGGAAACAAAGCATTATTTTTATATTTCAAAGAAGGTCTACGTCCATAATAAATACTTTGGAAGAAATCTTTAAGAGATCTTCCAAACTCAATAAAACAACCCAACATACTAAAAATTAATCCCCCAGCAAATAAAAATAGTCAATCTTCCAAAAGCAATCCAAACAAAAATGGTGAGACTGCATTGAGAATGCCAGCTAAAGATTACAACTGTAATTTAAAATCTTCTTTCCAACTTAGAAAATATAATTTGCAACCAGTACAAAGCAAACAGAAAGATTTTGCAGAGTGAAGGAGGAATTATATAAGAATATCACTCATTACTCCATGGTTTATTCAAAATAAATTTATTGTGTTTAGTGAAGCTTACTCATAAGTAAACATGCACATAATTGTACTTTGAGTGTCTGGCTTAGTTGCTTTTATTTATAAAACAAAATGGAATGAGTCAAATGCTCATAAATTTTATCAGATCAAGAAAAAAAAACTGTTGGCATAAGACTGGAAAGCAATCTCATTGCATTCTTTAAAAACATTTTCTGTATAAATTATTAACAAGCATGAATTGATTCCTAGTCTAACGTGGAATTTCTCCCAAGTGCTTGCATTTTTAAGTTTGCTTATAAGTCTACTATCATCACTTTTACTTCACTTTAGGTTTTTGCCAGTGATGTATTGCCATCAAGAAATTCATAACTAGCAAGCTAATGTAATCATTTTGTCTAAAAACTCCATCCCTTTCTTCCAGCATGAAACTATGTGAATAGCATAAGATTTTCTACATATGTAATACTCCAATTTTTGACAAATATATGGATAAAACACTGATTTAGTATTCAAGTATTGATATCAATATGGCAACCCCATAGCTTTTCTAAGAGCATTCACACCATAGAATCATTTTTAAAAGTATGATTTATGGGTATTTTAAGAAATACATTAACAGAAGATTAACAGATTAACAGAGTTGGAAGGGACCTTGTAGGTCATCTAGTCCAACCCTCCATCCAAGCAGGAGACATTACACCATTTCTGAGAGATGGTAGTCCAGTCTCTTCTTGAAAGCTTCCAATGATGAAGTCCCCACAACTTCTGAAGGCAAGATGCTTGGGCAATAGAAATCAAACCACAAAAAACAGACTGGAAGGAATGTTTAATTTTTGACATAATAGTGTGTGTGGGGGGGTGTGAATGGGTGTCACAAACAACTTATTTGAAATTAGATTTTTGCCTTTCTCATTTTTTTTAATTATGTAAAGATATCTATGTGTCTGAACAAGGTCTTATTCATTTATTTTCATTTAAAGAGCAATGTTTCAACAGTGACATTTGATCCAGAAAAGCATACATTGCATAAACATTTGTTTCACAGCCAAAACATCTTAGTTTTCAATGACGCTTCTCTTGTATATTCAGATTGCCCAGTTACTGACTACTGTTCATTTATGTAAGCTGTCCCAGCAATATGAAGCTAAGTGAACTTTATTATATGACCTCAGGATAAATTCAGAAAGATTTCTGATTAGAAAACCTAATTGGAGAGCCTAATTAGAAATACATTTCTATTCTATTTTTGTATTTAAGAGATTATAGAAAACATAGTGCAGTGTTCTGTTTAACATCCAGAGAGTTTTTAAAAGGCTATTGTATACAAAACATTATTAGAGTCAATGACTAGCTTAAAAGTCACCAATCCATCAAGGACTATTTATATAACTAAATCTCTGTTATACTAGTGAAAATCATAAATAGGTTCAACTGTGAGGTGGCTTTTTATATGCTTGTTAAGAAGAATTTATACAGCACTGGAGAGCCAATGATGTAATGATTGCAGTTACATCTGAGGAAATTAATCCCTCAATACCCATTTTTGGTATCAACATGTTGTCAAGCCCGGTAGTGTGACACATGTGTAGCCATTTTAGTTAGGCTTAGTATATATTCTTTTTCTTATTTTCTCTTTGGCAGTCATGGAGGAAGGGTTTCAGGCTTGCCACATTCCTAAGGAGGGAGGAGTGGAGATAGAGAAGAGTTGTTTAGGCTAGGTGATCATTCTTCCAGTGGAACCCGAGCTGTCCGGGCCTAGGCACTGGAGGTGGAGATTTATGACATCAAGAAACATTGAATTACTTCTATTGCAGAATGTGACTTTTGGGGGATTGTTTCTAACTTTTAATATTGGGGTAATTCCGGGTTGTGTCAGATCCTGAATTACCATGGACTTTGCCAATTTGATGCTTTCCTAAATAAAAGAAATTATCTTGGAAGATGGACTTCTGCTTTTCTTTTTAAAGAAAACCTGACACATGCAGATACAAAAAAGTCATTGTCCCAAAAATGGATGGATGGGAAGGCAGAATCTTTTCTTAGCAAGTGTGATGACAAATCATAAATCCAAATATGTTCTCCAAGGAACAAAAATGTATACCTATGGAGGATAGTAAATGTCAAGGAAAGAAGATATCATATTCACAGTGGGTTTTCCCCACCCCCAGTTTGATCACTATTTGATGTTACCTTTATATGGAATTCTAGATTTTCATCCATGGAATAAATGTGATCAAAGATGTCATGCGCGATTCTTGGAATTATTCCCATCAGCTGTGGGTCATGCAATTTCCCCTAAAAGTGCAAAAAGAAAAAGAAATGAATCATATCATATTCTGGAAATTAAAGAACATGTAGTCATCGACTTACAACAGTTCATTTAGGGTCTATTTGCAGTTACAACATCCCTGAAAAAAGTGACTTAGGAGCATTTGTCAAATTTATGACCATTACAGCATCCCCATTGGTCATGTGATCAAAATTCAGCCACTTGGCAACTGACTCATATTTATGACAGTTGCAGTGTCCTGGGGTCATGGGATCCCCTTTTGCGACCTTCTGATGAGCAAAGTCAATGAGGAAACTAGATTCATTTAGCAAGCTGCAGTGATTCACTTAACAACTGTGGCAAGAAAGATCATAAAATGGGGCAAAACTCACTTAACAAATTTCTCACTTAGCAACAGAACGGGTGTTGGTAAATTTACCTGTGAACGCCCTTTCTATCTATGCTGCGAGAGAGCCCAGGATGGGTAGACTCCTTCTTATGATGTCATTAAGCTGAGTCTGTACTTGTATATAAAAAGTCAGCCCCCGGGAGAATCCCCAGCTTTGGCAAAGATACTTGACAGACTGAAGAAGTGTCTCTGAAAGCAAACAATCCAATACATTAACATGCCTTACCATCTCTGGACGAGCCAAGGGAGGGGCTGGGCTCTCTTGCAGGATAGATAGAAAGAGCGTTCACAGTAAATTTTCCAACGCCCATTCTCCATGATGCAGCGAGAGCCCAGGATGGGACATACCAAAGCTTGCATGTCCACAGGTGGGTCGTTGTCCGACCAATCACTCCGATAGTGGAACCACTTGCTGAAGAACCCATCTGCCAAAGGCCGCTGTTGCCATGGCAAAGGAATCCAAATGGTAGTGTCTGATGAAGGGAGACGGGGATGTCCACCTGGCCACTCTGCAAATCTCTTCCAAGGATGCCTGGGTGGCCCAGGTGGTTGAAGTGGCCGCACTTCTGGTAGAGTGTGCCGCTAGACCACAGGGTACCGGAAGAGCCACCGCTTTGTAGGCTTGTGCGATGCACGTCCTGACCCACCTGCTAATAGTAGGGGAAGAGGCTTTGCTCCCCAAGTGAGAAGGTGAAAAGGAGACAAACATGGCTTCTGTCTTTCTAAAAGGGGAAGTGAGCTTGATGTAAATTCTAAGAGCCCTTCTGACATCTAGAGTATGCCACTTGCGCTCTAAGTCATGGTGTGGAAGGGGACAGAAGTCAGGTAACACAATGTCTTGGGACCGGTGGAACCAAGTGTTAACCTTTGGGATAAAGGAGGGGTCCAGACGGAGAACAACCCTATCACTGTGAAAGATGCAAAGATCCTGCCTGATAGAAAGGGCGGCCAGTTTTGACACCCTTCTGGCTGAAGTGATAGAAATGAGGAAAACTCCCTTTAGAGTTAGGAATTGGAGAGACACTGTTCTAAGGGGTTCAAAGGGGGGGCTTCGTAAGGGCATTAAGAACCAGGGGCATTAAGAATTAGCTTCCATGAAGGATGCCTGTGCACCACAGGAGGGTGTAGGTTGAAAGCCCCTTTCAAAAATCTCCTGACCAAGGGGTGATGGGACAAGGAAGGAAGCGAACCCCATGAAAGAACTGAGGAGAGAGCCGCTACCTGGCGATGTAAGGTACTGGGGGCTAAACATTTCTCCAAGCCATCCTGAAGGAATATAAGAACCTCTGCCAACTGGGCTGAGGAAGGAGAGACCCTCCTTGAGGCACCATTAGGAGAAAACCCTCCAGGTGGCATCATAAAGGCGCCTCGTAGGTTTGCGAGACGCCTGGATGGTGAGGATAATCCCCTCTGGGAGATTAGCCTCCCTTAGCTGCTGCCGCTCAAGCACCACATGGTCAGCTTGAGCCATAGGGGCTCCAGATGGATCAGGGCCCCTTGGTGCAGGGAGATGAGATTGGGCGTTGGTTCTTACCTGACACGCCATTTCTCTGGGAGCCGTGAGGATCATCCAGTGTGTGGGAGGTGCTTCAGTCTGCGTCATTGTAGGCTGAGCTTAATTACTGAGGATTGCTCCGCCCTTCATCACGTGGCTGCCTTGCAATCCCCAGTTTACGCGAAGTCGAGAGTGAATAGAAATTCCTGCTCTCCTCTTACTATGCTAAAGGGTTCATTGGCCGAAACAAGACCCCACCAGACGGAAAACTAATAAGGGTGGGGCTGGATGATCCTCACGGCTCCCAGAGAAATGGCGTGTCAGGTAAGAACCAACGCCCATTCTCCTGGAAGCCGTTCGGATCATCCAGTGTGTGGGACATACCAAAGCTTGGCTGTCCTACGGGGGGGATGTCTGGTTCTGTGATCCCTGTGGTTCCTCGAGGACTCGCTGGAGGACTCGTCTACCAAACGAAGCCTCTGCCGAGGCAAATATGTCGATCTTATAATGTCTAATGAAGGGAGATGGGAAGGCCCAAGTGGCCGTCCGACCAATATCAGCAGTTGGAGCCTGGGTGGCCCCAGCTGCAGAAGTAGCAGCACTTCTGGTGGAGTGTGCCGTTATTCTGCTGGGAACCGGCAGGGCCTGGGACAAGTACGCCTTGGAAATAGTAGCTCTAATCCAGCGGCCGACGGTTGACGGGGACACTTTGTGGCCTAATGATTTGGGCTGAAAGGAGAGGAATAGGGATTCGGATCTCCTGAAGGATTGGGTACGTTTAATGTAAATGCGGAGGGCCCATCTTACGTCCAGGGTGTGCCAGAGCTTCTCCCTTTCCCGCGAGGGATTGGGGCAGAAGTTCGGAAGTGTAAGTTCCTGTGCCCTGTGGAAGGTTGATGTGATCGCCCCATCCGGACAGGCTGGCATCTGTGGTGAGGGTGAGGCGTTGGGGCTCCTTGAAGCCATGTCCCTTGTTGATGGCGGGACTGGTTCACCAGAGGAGAGACATGAGGACCCTTGAAGGCACCTTGACCGTGGCCTTTGAATTGCTTCTGCCGGACCGTTGGAACGGGAGCAGGAACCACTGTAGGGACCTGGTATGTAACCGGGCCCAGGGGACAATGGAAATACATGAGACCATTTTACCTAGTAGCTTAGACAATTCCAAAGCTGTTACCCTTCTTGAACGTCTGATTTGTTTGACGGTTTCCTGAATGTTAATGAATCTTTCCGAGGAAAGGGAAACCTTTCCTCAAACTGAGTCAATGACGGACCCCAAGGGGTGATCCGTGTAGGTGGTAACAGTCGGCTCTTTTGCCAGGAACCCATGGTCTTGGAGGGCAGAGAGGGTAGCTCTGACATCCTTCCCTGCTTGGAGTCTGGGGTGGGACAGGACGAGGATGTCATCCAGGTAACAATGGAGACGAACCGGGAGGTTCCTGAGGTGGGCCGCCAGAGACGCGAGGACCTTAGTGAAGATCCTCGGGGCAGGGGCAAACCCAAAGGGAAGAGCCACATATTGGAAGTGGCGGTGGTTGTAGCAGAATCTGAAGAATTTGGAATGGAAGGGCCGGATTGGGAGTGAAGAGACACCTCTGAAAGGTCTATAGAGGCTAGCCAGTCCCCCTGCCTGATGCCCAGTAGAATGGGTGTGCATCTTGAACCTGCTTGAATCGGCCAAAGAGTGGGTGATACACAGCCTAACCTCACGAAGGCTGAGTGTAAACTGGGGATTGCAAGGCAGCTACGTGATGAAGGGCGGAGCAATCCTCAGTAATTAAGCTCAGCCTACAACGACGCAGACTGAAGCACCTCCCACACACTGGATGATCCGAACGGCTTCCAGGAGAAGGGCCGGGATCCTCCAAGGGGAAGCCACAGACAGGTTGACCAGGTCTGCAAACCAGGGCCTCCTTGGCCAATAGGGTGCCAGGAGAATTAGCTCCGCTCGTTCCGCCAACAGCTTCAGTATGACCGCCGGAATGATGGGAAGAGGGGGAAAGGCGTAGAGGAGACCCACGGGCCATTTGCAACGAAGAGCATTGGTCCCCTCTGCTCCCTGGCAAGGAAACCTGGTGAAGAATCTGTTGACTTGGGCATTTTGAGGAGTGGAGAAGAGATCCACCTCCAGAGTTCCGAATCTGAGAGAAAGATCCCTGAATAGGGTTGGAGGAATGGACCATTCTGCCTGGTCGACTAAACTCCTGCTCAGTCAGTCGGCTTGGAAATTATCGACTCCGGAAATGTGATCTGCTGAGATCGACGGCAGGTGTTTCTCTGCCCATAACCCCAAACATTCTGCCTCCCTCATAAGTGCCTTGGATCTCGTTCCCCCATCTGTTGACATGTGCCTTTGCAACCATATTGTCCATCAACACGAGAACATGGGAGCCAGTCACCGAGGCTCTGAAATGGTTGAGAATCAGAGAGATAGCTCTGAGCTCTAACAAATTTATGGGGTGGGTGCTGTCTGATCTGGACCAAACCCCTTGAGCTATCTGACCCTCCCATATGGGAGCCCCAACTCAGAATGCTGGCATCTGTGGTGATTACTAGCTTGTCTGGTTCCTTGAATTGGAGCCCCTTCCAGAGGGACGGGGAGAGCCACCAATTGAGGGACTGTTGAGAGAGCACAACCTTGATTGACGAGTGGCTGGTTCCTGCTCATTGAAAGGGGAGCAGGAACCATTGGAGCGACCAGGAGTGAAGCTGTGCCCACAGGACAATGCCAATACAGGAGCCCATCTTCCCCAGTAGTTTGGACAGCAGCAACAGTGGAACAGTCTGTTGTTGTTGAATCTGGCTGATGATCTCTGCAAGGCTTTTTCCACAATCTGGAGACAGGAAAACCTGGCACAAAGTCATGTAGATGACTGCTCCCAAGTGTAGCAATTTGGTCGTGGGTGAGGAGGAAAGACAGGGTAATTTGTAAGCCCCGATGGGCCGAGTGGATGGAGGACAGTATCAACATCTCCAAGTAGCATTGGATCCTCACTGGAACAGAACAGAGTGAAGCCACCAATGCTGCTAGAAGACCCTTGGAGCCGATGAGGGAAGGGCTCGATACTGGAAGTGGGCATTCTGGTAACAGAAACAGAGAAACTGGCGATGATGAGGCCAGA